AGTGGTGATGCCAGATGGTGTTTATGGTGATGGTGAGTGGTGATGCCAGATGGTGTTTATGGTGGTGGTGACTGGTGATGCCAGATGGTGTTTATGGTGGTGGTGAGTGGTGATGCCAGATGGTGTTTATGCAAAGAATTACTGAGGGGGTAGGTATCTAGGCGTCCACTCAATGTCAGATCAGGTTGTTTTGTTTTTGTTTTTTAAGTTAATTAACGTTAGTCCTATATATCTTCCTCTGCTCTGATGAGTCACGAGGGACGTGGGCACCCTCTATCCCGTTCCCTACTGGAACCATCTTTAATGTCATCGGGAAGTTCCGACATGGTGGGCTCAATCTAAGGTGACATTGTTAGTGTTAGTCTGTTCTCGCCGGCCAGGACAAGTGGAGAGAGTGGGTGGTTGGCGGGTGCTCTGGTGTGGTTTGCTCCTTCTTTCCTATCAAACATCAATCGTCCTTATCTCTCCTCCTTCTTTTTTGTGTTTGTTACTCTCTTGTAACACCTCTAATCTTCGAGTCTTATTCAACATGAAGTTGCCGAGATTCCGACACAGGATCCTCGAACCCGAGCCGAGGGTGGGGAGGGGGAGCGGTCTCGTCATACATATAATATTGTTAGATCGCTGTATGGGGCGGTAACGTGTTATATATATTATTTACTGTTGGATTGTTGTACCCGTGCGTCGTGGGTTTTCCGTCACCATTCAGGGAGCGCTACCCCACGCTATGTACACCCAACCACAGAGATGGCTTTGTCCACAGCCTCTCAAAGCAAAGCTCAATCATTGAGTTCATTGACCGGCGCAGATAAACACAAGTGTTTGTTATGTAAGCACAGATATATTGTACGCATGGAGAACGAAGGCACCAGACACAGATTGCCCTAACCCCTCCCCCACCCCCCCCCACCCACCCGCCTGCCCCCTGCGTGGTTGCAGAAGCATCTGTGCGATCAGAGTTTATCACAGGGTAGAGTGCAGTGAGTGTTGGTAGAGTGCAGTGAGTGTTGGTAGAGTGCAGTGACTGTTGGTAGAGTGCAGTGAGTGTTGGTAGAGTGCAGTGACTGTTGGTAGAGTGCAGTGAGTGTTGGTAGAGTGCAGTGACTGTTGGTAGAGTGCAGTGACTGTTTCCAAGATGCAGCTCTCTGATCAGCCACCCACTTCACTCAGGTCAGTCTGTGGCACGGACTGACTTCCACTGGTGTCTTGCTCTGTCTTGTCCGTGTGTGTGTGT